ACTATTTTGTATATACCTGTGTTGATGTGACTTGAATCGGACTATCTGGTTTCGACTGAATATCACGGAACATTTCCTTGAAGTATAATAAACTGGTTCTCTCTTAGCTGTGAACTAAGCTAACACATATGGTCCTAGTGAACCACGTAAATCGTGTCGCGTTCCTTCTTGTTTTTCATTCTGGTTTTTCATACTCTGTCACATTTTTAACGAGGGGGATGTAGACCTTTGGGATATTTATTAGTTACATCGATTAAAGGGTCAGTTTCACTTGCTGTCTGTCACAAATGGAAATGGTCACAAGAATTACATCTATATTGTTGGTGTTGTGGTTGGCATTTAGCAGCCGAGACTGCAGGGTGCAGGCCTTCTTCCTCTCGGCCAACATATGCTTTTATGGAGTACATATATATCGTTCTGTATTCGTTTGTTTTTCATTGGAGGAGAATCATTTCTGGAAACTTACAACTTCAGAAATCAATATTAATAAATTTCTTCTCCCTTGACACCCTACAAATTCTAATATTTATAAATTTTTGTTAGGAACAATATTGATTCCTTGGCAAGTTTTCTGAAGTGTATTCCGGCCCAGACAAATGGTGACTTCATTGAATAGTCGATAAACTAAAAAAGCAGTCTAGTAAACTTAACTTCGTTGGGTTTACTGATAGTAAAGTATTCATACGGTTATAATTTATATAAAATCTCATATGTATATGGATGAGAACACATAACATTACACCAAAATAGCAGTTCATAGTTGGATTGGATCCGACATATAACGAAAATTCAAACAAACTCATATAACATCAATATTTAAATGTTCAGATAGAAACTTCAAAATTAGAGTTAGTCAAAAGGGGGAAATAAAATAAGAGGTGCAATGTGCAAATCATAGATAAAAATGATGTTGTATGACGTCCAACCCGGGAACATTGCTGTAGGCCGATCCGATATGTGTGTTGCATATGTCTTTCTCACCGAATCCGGATCAACCGATGGGTCTATCCGCTGAGGGGGAGATGTAGACCTTTGGGTTATTTATTTGTTATATCGATAAGGGTCAGTTTCACTTGCTGTCTGTCACACTCACAAGTCACAATGCTCACAAGGTTACAAATATCGTTAGTCTTTGTGGTTAGCATGTAGTCCAAGTCTGCCGGCCTTCTTCGTCCCAACCAACAAATGCTCGATGACTCGATCTATGGGTGCTTTCTGTATCCGTTTATTTTCATGGGATGAGGGAGCATATGGGAGGCTCTTACAGTTCCAGAAATCAATATCAATTTGCTTTCTCCCTTCACACCCAACAACCTTAAATATTTATATATTCTTGTTAGGAACAATATGATTCCTTGGTAAGTTTTCTTAAACGTATTCCGGCACAGACAAATGACGACTTCAACGATAAATAAATAAAAAGAAGTAAAGTAAGCTTAAGTTTTTTGGGTTTACTGAATGCCTCGAAAATGCTTTCGAGGAATTTTAATTGATCAAAATGCATTTTTTTTGTTTTATTTATGGTTGTCTAAACTGATTTGAACCTAAACTCTCGTCCTGAATTCCAATGCTTCTGACTACTTTAGCTACCGTTTTTACTTTTTATACTCATTTTAGTTGATTTAATATACATTAGATCATAAGTATCTCAGCATATTCAAAAGAGAATTTATAAAATATGAGTTTGAATTATTATTATTAGTGATTTAGTGTTATTTGGTTCAACATCATCCATATCTATCACATTCGAAATATGTTATTTATAAATAAAAAATAAACATTATTTTCAAAAATTTACTTCTTTCGTATTATTATACTTAAACACAAATAAAATAATTGGTCTGATGATGATTTGAGAGGATAAAATTCATTATACCCTAAATCTACACCCAAACTTAAAATCTTACGATAAGGCCAACAACTCAATGAATTGGCCTAATGATAATATAGGTCAAGATGAAAACATTCACCACATCTTAGTTTCGAATTTTAGGATTAACAATCAAAGAAGAAGAAGAAAAAAGGCCAACAACGAAAAAAAAGTCACTAACTTATTCCTGAAAATGATTGCTAAACGTAGTGTGATGAAAGCTTGCACATTGTGTGATATCTATCTATATCTATCTACATACTATAAATAAAGCATATTTTGGGTTGAATTTTCTCTATTTCAAATTTCGAGTAACAAAGTGAAAGTAGGAAGGATATTTTGTCTTCAAAATTAGTTATTTATTTTGTATAAAAATATATTAGCACCAAGATTTGAACCATGGTCTCTTTAAACAAAGACAAGAAACATAACCAATTACACTTAACAAATAGATTGTATATTTTTTAATACAAAACATACACGAAGTTAAAATATGAAAAATAATTGACTTTTGCATAACGATAAGCTAGCTCACTAAGTCTCCTGTAAGTATTTTTATGGTGTTTGATACTTCAATTTTCATATTTTATTATTTTAGTTCTAGACTACCCTCCAATCTATAAATAATGAAGGAGATTCATGGGTTAAATTTTCTCAATTTAAAATATCCAACAACCAGAGTGATTTTTGGAAGGAAAAGATACCATTTATCACATTTTAATTGGAATACTTCGTTTAAACATTTATGTTGGGCTTTAAATCTGTCGCACGAATTTTAGTGATTCCACTACGCTTTAAATTCTTTGGGTTCTATTTTAGATTCTAATTTATTTTTTATTTTATTGTAACGCTACTGGAGGGACATAAGCTCTCCCAGTCTCTGAACCTGGATAAGAGGAAACAAAGAAGCGGAAATCTCGCAGCCATAACTCTGTCACCAACTCGGTCGTTCTTGGGACTCCTCCATGGAGCTTTCGACACCTTTCCTGCCAGACAAAGCTAATCAATGAGCACCATAGAGGTCCAATAAGTCTCCTCAGAGTCGTGTTTTGCTTTGCAACCACACCTGCATATGAGAGTCGGAGATCCCAAGAGCTGCTACTGAAAAATTACCAACTCTGCTAACAATACTCCTCGAGAAACAACATTCGAAAAACAAATGATCCCAGGTCTCACTATTAGCATGGCATAAAATGAATCTATCTTCATTTAATTTACCCCACCACATCAACTTTACCTTGGTTACTATCGCATCCATGGCCACAATCCATGTTATGATACTCCATCGCAACACTTAGAATTTACTCCAGAGAGGAGCAGACCAGTGTTGATTGCTCTTCACAGGACGTATCGTATAGTAGACTGCGCTCACTAAGTAGCTGGGAATCAAGTTCCCATTCCAAAAGCCTTCATCACCCCTGCTTCCTCATAAACGTCTGCATAGTTGGCCGAAACTTTAGTTATCGTTTCCACGCCCAATCTTCTCTATTTTCACATGTCAAACAACAAAAAGATGGTGTGTTTTTCATAAATCAAATTATCAAACCAAACTACACATGAATAAAAAAGTTTGTTATTCATTATTCTAATAAAATTCATAATCTTGAAGATTCCAATATCATTTCATTTGCATGATATATATGGTACTAATTATGGTTACAATTTACTTCAACCTAATTTTGGCCTTTAGATTAATCTAAAGGTTTTATTATGTCGTATTAACATAATAATTTAATATAATTTAGATTACGATACAAAACCCAGACATAGAAAACTCTACAAAATCTCAATCATAGAATCATTTATCGAACGAACATGTATTTTTAACAATAGATTTATTTTTAACAATTATGATGTTATTTTTAATTATATGAGTTAGTACCGATGCCATTTTGTGTGATGTTAACAATTATCATGATTAACATAAATGTTCATTTATAAAATAATTTATTACTGATATCATGAACATCAATAATATGAACAAACAACATTAATAGGCAACTGTGATATTGGATCATATTGTTAACAATGGAATGATGTATTGTTAATAATCTACAAATTGAAACATTGTCAACATAAGCAAAATCATTAACCATATATATCTCATATGAACGGGAAGCAGCCAATGAACGAACCGTCACTGAAGCAATTAACACTAAAGTGTGAATATCAACAGTTAATAAATGAAACTTCCAAACTTTGACATCGACTGCAGCAAAAGAATAAGATGACGGACATATAGGAAGCAACGACGGCGGTTATCGAATCTATTCCTCGTGATTAAAGATATCAACTTCGTCTAATGCAAATCTGTCATGTCTGAAAATGTTATATGAAGGAAGTGGAAATAGGGTAACCAAAAATTCATTTTGGAAAGAAGCGAATGTGTCGAACGAGATGAGAAAATAGAAAACTATAAAATGAGAGGTTCCGACACAGTTTGAATGTGGTAGAGAAAGAGTGAGAGATTGAAAGTTCACAAATTTATTTTTTATATACTTATTAAACTAATTATTAATTTTAAATATCGACATTTCTCTTTTAGGTTTTTTCTTCTTGATTAATCAAATTATTCCTATTAAGTTAAGAAACTTGATAAATAATTATTTTATTGATTGAATGTAAACCGCATGCTATATGTTTATGTTTTGGTGGACATAAACTCCATCTAATTGTATGTTTGACAGCTTGAGGATTAATGAATGGTGGATCTATTGTTTGGTGTTTGCAAACATCTTTATCTATATGTTATAGTTTTGTAATTTGCTTTCTAATATGTAACTTATATATTGGTTAAATAGTCATAGATAGAATTGTGTTGGTATTGTTATGTGATGGGGATAAGGGTAGGGATGGCAATAGGTAGGGTCGGGTGCGGGTTTACCCTATACCAACTCCTAACTCGCCGGGTAGAGCCTTCTAAAATACCCGACCAAATAACCACCGGGTATAAAAATTATATAACCATACCCTACCCACCGGGTAACCACGGGTATTCGAGTAACCATGGGTACGAATCCTAAACTATGAACTTATACACATATATGCACATACATACTGTTGTCCGTTAAAAATTCTCAATACTTGTAACTGTTCTAACAACAATCCACACAAATAAAAACAACAAACACATAATAATTGTTCTTTCTTCTACAATCCGCACAACCAAAATAATCGTCTACATCTTCATCATCAATAATGGTATCTAAACTCAATTTCTCAAACTAAACTAAATTTCTCAAGGGAAATTGACCCTTTGGTTAGCGGGCGGGTACTATCAATTAGCATACCCGTACCCTACCCTTTATTTTGAAACCGGGTATTACTCGTACCCGTCCCTTAACCCGTCAAAGCGGGTAATTACCCTCATTGACCGGTTACGGTTGGGTAGGGTACCCATGGTTACGGGTTGGATTGACATCCCTAGATAAGGGTTAACTCATGGCAATGAACACAGACTATAAATTAATGTTTTTTTGTTTCATGTAGCAGACCTTCAAATTGACAAGTTATAAATTTGATGTCTATTTCTCTTGCTTTTGGCTATCTAATTTACTAGGAAACACAAGACTTTTTTCATGTACATCTCTTATTGGATTTCTCACGATGAACCTCTTTTTGACATTGTCTTTGACTCTCATCTTCAAGCTTGATCATGTCTCCCAAGTGTTTAAGATTATAGATGGTGGTATTATCTCTTTTTACATCTAATTGACTTTTCCTACATTTCTTTTGGGAGCATAATTAAAGGCTTTTGTTTCACATCTGAATATGCTATGGATTTTAGGGAGAACAAGATCCAAAATGAATGCACAAAGTTACTTTAATATTTGGTCTTCAAAGTGAGCTCCCATGTATTGAGCATTTGAGATCAGTTTGCTCTTCATTGCCCACTGTTTTGTCTATCTCTACTTTCACATTAAAATATTAATACTTAAATTAACAATGAGGCATCTAAATACTCAACTTTTAAGTATAACTTCCGCAGTGCACAAAATTCTCATTTGATTTTTCTTTTATGCCTCGAGCCCTTGACTCATGTTAAGAATGCTCACTCTGAATCTTGGCAATATATCATTTTTTTCCCGTTGAATCATTTTCCTCTTTTATTAACTCTCCAAAGAAGACATGGTGATAAACACCACTCCTGATACAACGAAGCTAAGAATCCCCAAAGTGGTGATCTCGAAAATGGCCAACAAACTACAACAACCTATCTCAACAACTCAAACAATTCACAAATCTATCTCACAGACCCTCTAAACCAATACTACTATAATCACTTATCAACGAGGGGAAAGCTCCCACAACATACCGCAATTCACTCAACCATAAATCACCCACAACCTTAGCATCACGAGGCAATTCATTATGGCATTTGTGGCATCTTTCCTGCCAGATAAAAGAAGTCACAGAGCACCAAATTATACCAATCATACGCCCCCACGAATTTTTCTTAGCAGTAATAGCTACAGTTGTATCAACTCGTGAGATCCAAGGTCCATTTCCCACCTGCAAACCCACTATTTGCATCAAGCACTTTGAAAAACTGCAGTCAAAGAACAAATGCTCTCTTCTCTCACTTCCAAGGCCACACAAGACACAACTATCATCCTGCAAATGCCCCCATTTCAACAGTTTTGTTGCGTAACCATTGCGTCCTACATAACAATCCATGAGATAAAACTCCAACGTGGTATGTGGTTCTTCCCCCATAAAAGTTTGGACCAGTTAACTCGATTGTGAACAGGCCTCAGGGTTTTCCAGACCTCTCGAACTGAGTACAACACCATCCTTCTTCCCTGCCAAGTCCCCTACCCGTTATGCACTCCCATTAAAGGCTGAAACTGTGGTCGAAGCTTCAGAATTCTACACCAAGTCCAAGAACTGGATACCGTAACCGCCATAGTCCAAAAGTCCCCCCCTGCACCTGTATGCCAGCATCCAAGCCACCCATAGGGCTACTCATGAGGAGCCAGAGCATCTTAGCAGTGCATGCTTTGTTCCATGTAAATAGGTCCCGTACGCACAGTCCCCCTTCCTTCTTTGGTCTAGATATTCTTTCCCATGCCACCTTTTCCCTTACAGATTCCTCTCCATGCCACAAGAAATCCAAACAGACCTTATGTAGCTTTCGAAGAAATTTTTTAGGGAACATGAATAGTTGAAGCCAATATTGAATCACCCCCATTAAAACAGATGCGGCCAACTGTATCCTGCCTGCATAAGTCAGCTTCTTTGCACGCCACGATCTGACTTTCTTGGTTAGCTTTTCAAGCAACACCCCACAGTCTGAATCCCTCAGTTTACCAGAAAGCAAGGGAAGTCCAAGATACCTAACAGGCAGAGAACCCTCCTTGAAACCAGACACAGCAAGTGAAGCTGCCTTATATTGCACAGATTCACCGCCAAAGTACACCTCACACTTCTCTGGATTGCACTTCAGCCCAGAAAATTGATAGAACTCATTCAATAAGTCCTTGATCTTCAATAAAGATTGCCTTGAGCCTGTAGAGAAGATAAGTAAATCATCTGCAAAGCACAAATGATTTAGAGCAACCTTCTTACGCATAGGATGATAAGGCAAGTGATTTTGCATTGCTGCTCGATTTAATAACCCAGATAACCCCTCCATAGATATACAGAGCAAGTATGGGGACAAGGGATCCCCTTGCCGAACTCCTTTACGTGCTTTAAAGAACCCACACAACGCACCATTCAAATTGATACTAAAATGAGCAGTAGATAGGCAAATTCGAATCCACTTTATGTACAGATCAGGGAAACCCATAATGCCCATAACCTTAAACAGATAATCCCAATGCACCGAGTCAAATTCTTTCATTAAGTCAACTTTCACTGCACACCTAGTAGAGAGCTTCTTATTTCCATAACCACTGACCAATTCTTGCGCAAGTAGAATGTTATCCATAATGCGTCTGCCTTTGATAAATGTCGTATGATTCAAGCTAATAATATGAGGCATTACTAGCTTCAATCTATTTGCTAATATTTTTGAGACACACTTATATAAAACATTCACACACGATATAGGACGAAAGTCTTTTATTCGCTCAACACTAGGAATTTTAGGGCATAAAGACACTGCAGTTGCATTAATACCACTAAGCAGTCTACCTTGAGAAAAAGAAGTCCAAAATACCTGCAGTGACATCCTCACCAATTAAATGCCATGTATGCTTAAAGAATCCTGCTGAAAATCCATTTGGCCCAGGAGCCTTCTGGTCATTTAAACCAAACATAACTGCCCGGATTTCATCAGTAGTTACTGGAAAACATAAAAGTGCAGCAACCTCAACAGGGACCCTCTTTTGAATCATCACTCCAAGCAGGTCAACATCAGTTTGAATATCAGGGTTAACCACACCAAACAAACCCTTGTAGTAATTGACAGCTCCTCAACAATTTGATCAATAGCAGTGAGCTCCTCCCCTCATCATTTATCAATCTCCTAATTGCCTTCTTTGCAGTCCTTATTTTCACCGCCTGATGGAAGAAACCAGTACACTTATCACCTTTCCCCAACCAGTTGACTCTAGACTTTTGCCAGAAAAACTCCCTTCTTGCCTTTTCAAAACATCATAGCACTTCTGAACTTCAGCTTTTTCTTTCAAGAATCTTAGGATGGTTCAGGATGTTAGCCTGGAGTGTCATTAATTGTTGCTCCACCACTCTAACTTGTTCACTAATCTCATTAAAAGCTTCTCGATTAAGTTTCTTCAAAGCTGTCTTCACAGACTTGAGCTTACACTGAATAACATACCAAGGAATTCCCTTCACATCAATCTTCCAAGCCTGCTCTACAATACTCATAAACTCTGGATGAGTCTCCCAAAACTGAAAGTATTTAAAAGCCTTCGACATAGATTTAATACCCACATCAGTAGAAACCAAGATGCCACAATGATCCGTAAATGGAGCCAACACTGCCTCCATTGAACAATCCTTGAAAGCCTCCAGCCATTCAACATTCACTACACCTCTATCCAACCGTCTAGCCAATGGATTACCAGACTGATTATTTGTCCAGATATACCAAGGTTCTGTAGTTCGATAATCCAGTAACTCCATGTCATGCAATCAACTCTCAAAATCCTTCATACTAGAGTTCTTCACAGTTAGGTTAGAAGTCTCCAAGGGATGGATTACGGCATTAAAATCCCCCCCCCCCCCAACAACCCAGGGCCTACCTTTTACACAAAACTTACACATTTCTTTATACGTAGCACATCTTTCAGCTTCATCATTGGATCCATAAACTGTTGTAAGAAAAAATGGAACCTTGTCCTGCCCCTGAACCAGAGTATGGACAAAATTCTTACCCTTCCTTAAGATACCAAGCGTGATATCCGAATTCTAGAACAACCAGATCCTTCCCAAATCAGAATCAACATAGTTCAACTCTCTTTTCCACCACCCTACGAAACAAACTTCCAATACCTCATCAGCCTTCGCTTTCCTAACTCTCGTTTCCAGAACAACCACCACATCAACATACAATAACATATAAAAAAAATTTAAACAACAATTTTACTGGAATTTTACATCAATGTAGTGTTGTTGCTGGGGAAGAGACGACAAGTGGGTCTGGCTGCTGGCGACTGTGCAGGAGAAACCGAGAAAGTTGGACTGTTGTTGTGGAAGAGATCACAATCTAGGCTGCTGCAGGGCAAAATCGCGACGAAATTGCGGAGGAAGTTGGGTCGTCTGAGGTTCGAAGTAGCAGGAAGAACGCTTCATGCCTTTTCCTTGCTGTGATTTTGGAACTTTGGTTTTTTTTTTTTTTAATTTTACTTTTGTTGGCACAGGGAAAGAATTAGAGGGGAAGAGAAATTGAGTTTTGGGGTTTTGGTTTGGGAGGCAGCGAGAGATGGCTGGTCCCTAATTGAGTCACATAGATGGGCTTTGAATTTGGGAGGAGCTGGGTAATGTCACCATGCGGAGGGAGGCTGGGCCCGGGCCCAGTGTGGCCCTCCCCTGGTTCTGTCGCTGGTTTTAAGGTAATTGCTATTATAATAATTATTTAGACTTTGCTTTGTGTAGATTTATTTTGTGTGGTTCATGATAAAACTTAGGCTGCCTAAAGTTGTTTAGCTCTTGAATGAGATAATGATTGTCAATTGAATTTCGAGGTGGTGAAGGTTATACATTATTGTGGCGTGGATGTTTGGGAAGAGTTCCTTCTGGATAGGTTTTTTCACATTAGGTTTTTACGTTAAACCAAGTATTAGCTCTCAAAAGTTTTAGAATCTTAATTGCACAGTGATTTCAGCAAACATGAAGAGGAAGAAAAATGGAAAATCTTGGAAAAATACAATAATTTATATTATATTTAATTCTTTTAATTTTTGAATAAGCATGTCTTTTCCTTACATTAAAATTTGAAAAGGTCGATCGAAAGCTTAGTCGTAGGTTAAACAATAATTTCATTCACATTGTATCGAATTGATATTTGGGTCGAATTAGGTCAAACAAAAAATAATTAATTTTTTTAACTATGTGTATTTGCTTAAAGTCGAAGAAAATTTACTGACCGCAACCATATCAAATGTTCTTTTGACTTTTATCTCTAATTTTCACTTATTTTTAGTTTGGTTTTATCATGATTCATTGAGATTATGGATCATAACAAACCTTCCAATAAGAGATAATTTTTTATTAGAGAAGTATTAAATGTAAAATCTGGTCCAACGGAATAACTTATTTGCTTCTTCAAACTAATTACGCTATTATTTATGTCTATACTATTTACATGAAGGAATAGTTCCATTAACGATTTCAAAATAGTTGTATAACGACAAACCATTAATCGTGAGTTATTGACATTTTTCGTCTGACAACCACTTCGCTTTTGAAAACATAGGAAATAGTTAATAGAAAATTTAGAAACATCTATAGTTATATTTTGTACTGTAATTCATTTGTAATTCAATAGATGAAAATCTACAATATCTAAATCAAAATAGAGAAATAGTGATATATTAATAAATTTTCAATGCTTCATTTGCAAGCTACTTATTTAACATATAACAAAAATAAAGATCTTTTGTTAAAATTTGTTACATTGATTCAGTGATGTTTAATATCTCAAGGCATTAATATAGATTCGAGATAGATTTTCATTTCATTTGTTGTCTAACTTAAACTTCTTATGATTAAATATAAATTGAAGGAAAAATTCATTTATGTAGCCAAAACTTTCATGTTTATTACTTTCCCGCAAGCTTTGGCTTCTACCCCCAACCTCTTCCCTTCCCCTCCGCTTGCAGCGGAAACCCTCCCCCACCTTACCGCAGCCATCGCCACCATCACGAGTCTCAATTCCATCGTCGCTCAGCCGCCGCTTCTCTATTGACAATCAGAGAAGAAGACAAAGGAGAGGAGGCAGACGATGACAAATCAGCTCCATCCTCATCCACGAACTGTGCCGCCATCCATTGATTCCTGAAACTTACCCTACTTTTGAGCCATCAGGGATCAATATTTGGTCTCCAAATCTATTGCGCCACTGCCACCAAATTGGTCTTCAGATTTCGGTCGTTGCTTGACTCCAACCGCCTCTGTAATCCACCTCTACATGAAGCGGTGACTCGCAAGATGGGATTTCTGGGTAGTCGAGAGATGGTTTTGCCTCCGACGAACCACCTTCCTCTCCTGGCTTCCGCCGGCGCCGCTAGTCGCTTCCCCACCGTCGCCATCATAGGGGATGGAATGGGGGTAGAATCGAGGGTGTGAGATTCTGGTTAGGCATAAATGGGGAGAAAACGCTCGCCGAGAAGTGTAATAGTGGCCGGAGGCGATAGTGGGGTGGTGGCGGCGGAGGGAGATGAAGAGTTTGTGGGTGGGTAGGCTGGGAACAAAGGGAAAAGAGCAGATATGATTTTTCAATTTTCTTTAATTTTTTGTTTCTTTTAAATTTGTTAATTACATCCACGTGGGAAATATGTACCTGAAAAAAATTGCCAGATCGGACGATCCGTTAGTCCAGTCAGCACGTTAACTCACACGTCAAAAAATTGGACGAAAATGACTATTTTTTGTATTTCGTCAAAAGTGGCTATATTTGGCCAAACTGTCAAAGTTTTGGCTACACAGTTGTATTTTGCCTAAACTGAAACACCAATTCAATGAACAATATAAAGTTAATGAGCACTCAAAAGCATAAACTATCAAGATACTTTTTCGGGCCACCATTGTACAATACTAAAAATCGAACCATCTATGTTTAACTAAACAAATACGCAAATGGCCACAAATCGGCCAACGGGCCGGATACAAAACTAGTCTTCGTATATGCATTTCAATTGCCGCATGCAGCTCATTTGGGGAAGAGAAGATGCTCTCTCAATCTAATTTAGTTTCTAGGTACTCTCCATTGCCGACCGATGATCAAAGTTTTGGTGGTTGTTGTTTCAATTTCTTTTCCCTTAGATTTGTTTTCCAAAATCTAAATTCATTCCAGTTAGCTGCTTCCTACTGTAATTGGCACCAAGTTGGGTTCCTCAATTATATTTCTTTATTTGATATGTTCGTTTCAATCTTAATATCAATGGTTTCTGTTGTTTGAATATTTTTGTTTTGGGTTATCGTTTTTGATTCAGAAGGTTAACTATTTAATTTGCATGAGCCTCTTGAAGCAGTTCATCTACATTTGGGTGGTGGCTCCATGAGTGGCCGTTGAAATCCGAGCAAGGGCGGCTCTCGGAGCAGTGGCGGCGGACGGAATAGGTGATGGTGAACGGTAGGACAGGTGTCAGAGGCCCAATCGACATGCAAGTTGGTTCTGGAATGTGTGAATGGCAACGTTGTAATTATAAAAAGATTGTAGTGGTATTGGGGGGTATTTGGACAGGTGTCAGCCTCACAGCCCTTTTCAGCTTCCAAACATTGTTCATTTTCCCCATGGCCTTCCTTTCGGGACCGGTTATTGTAACAACACCCATTGTGTTGTTATTGTAACAACATTAGTCCCCAACCAATAGGAAGTTAGGGATGTGATGACTTTTTATTAGTTGAGTTGACCTAGTGTAAAATCAAAACAGGGGTATAATTGTCATTATGAAAAATATGTTTAAATAATAAAAAAATATTTTTTTATTTTCTGCCCAAAAATTTGGTCGCCGGAATTCTGCCACCGGTCGCCGAAAAATGGTCGCCGGTCACCGGGATATGCTTTTTGTCGCCGGAATATGCTATTTTGTGGCCATCGGAGTCGGAATATGCTTACCGGCGTCGGAATCTAGTCATCGGGCCGGAATATGCCTATCGGCGTCGGAATCTGATCACTGACGGTCACCGGAATTCGGTCAACGGTCAACGACCACCGGATGTTATGGTTAGCATTGTGAGATTTATGGTTTGGTTTCTCATATTTTTTTATGCCTTTTATGGTTTGTTTTATTGTGTTTGTGGTTTGCATTGAGAAGTTTCTGGTTTGTTTTCAAAAACTTTGTGGTTTGCATTGTGAGGTTTCTGGTTTGTTTTAATATATTTGTGGTTTGCATTATGACATTTATGGTTTGCTTTTTGTGGTTTGATTTACTGTGTTTGTGGTTTGCATTATGAGGTTTCTGGTGTGCTTTCACAAATGTTGTGGTTTGCATTGTGGGGTTTCTAGTTTGTTTTAGGATATTTGTGGTATGCATTAGGAGGTTTCTGGTTTGCATTAAGAAATTTCTGGTGTGCTTTCGAAACTTTTGTGGTTTGCTTTGCGAGATTTCTAGTTTGTTTTAATATATTTGTGTTTTGCTTTGCGAGGTTTCTGGTTTGTTTAAATATATTTGTGGTATGCATTAGGACGTTTTGGGTTTGTTTTACCGTGTTTGTGTTTTGCATTAGAGGGTTTCTGGTATGCTTTTCAAAATATTTATAGTTTGCTTTGTGAGATTTCTGGTTTGTTTTAGAGAATTTGTGGCATGCATTGAGAGGTTTCTGGTATGTTTTTTGTTGTTTGTTTTATCATACTTATTGTCTGCATTAGAAAGTTTCTGGTGTGCATTAGAAATATTTGTGGTTTGCTTTGTAAGTTTTCTGGTATGTTTTAGGCGATTTGTGTTCTGCTTTAGGATGTTTCTAGTTAGCTTTTTGTGGTTTGTTTTACCGTCTTTAGGGCTTGTATTAAGAGCTTTTTGTGGTTTGCTTTACCGTGTTTGCATTAGGGGGTATCTGGTGTGCTTTTCAAAATATTTATGGTTTGCTTTGTGTTTTCAATTTTTTTTTCCAAAGCACTTCAACGAAACTAAAATGAAATATAGTTGAAATATGTTCAATTTATTAATTCATATGACTACTTAGATTAGAAATTATATAGCTAAGCATTTCATCATAAAATAAAGCATATACATTGACAAAGCAACTAATGCTTAATTGGAATGGCCGCCATTATAAAAAAAAAGTGTGGTTGCTTACTGCCAGCTGGGTTTTCGAATCAAGCTCTTGTTAGCGCTGAGTTGGAAGCTGCCAAACCCAACAAAAGCAAATATACCATAGAAGTTAGAACGAGGGACGACGGCGACGAAATATGAATATTAAATGAATCGGCCGCGGCGGGTTTGGGCGAAGAGGACGGAAGAAACTTGTTTGAACTTTACCAATTCGGAACAGAGGATATTGAGAGACAAGTTTTATTTATATATATTAGGGTTTCTCGCTGCATCCCACTACCACCAGAAAGAATGAAGAATCACAAGCTTGAGCGGAAGCATGACCTCCTGAAGCCGTTCTTGTCGGCGATTCCGTTCTGCCTGTTCTTGCTGATGGATATCTAGAGGAAGTACGAGACCCGGCGGAGTTGCGACGGCGAATCCTGCAGCCCGAGCGAGCAGCTCCGCTACCAGAAATCAATCATGAAGAGTCAGAGGAACGCCCAGTTGATCGCGGCCGCGCTGATATTCTATTGGCTGCTTTACTCCGTCACCAATCTCGTCGTCAAGATAGAGCAGCTGAATCAGCGCGTTGAGAAACTCAGGAATGGAATGTGGTCGGCGTCGGTGGTGGGAATTGTGATATTTTAATTTAATTATATTTTAGTAAGTTTACCCTTATACCCTTAATGAATCCTGTTGTTAGTATAACAACACTTAAGGTGTTGTTATACTATCCGGACCCCTTCCTTTCACCACTATACGACGATGGCCGTTTTGGCCAAGGCAATGCGTCGAGAGCCTATGAGTTGCACCGTCTTGTCAGTTCACTCCAACAGGAGAAGCATTAAGTGTCGGAGCATTTCTACTATACTATATAGTATTGGTGCTTTAATGTACAACTTAAAGTTGTACCATAACATGAAATGTATAAGTTTAGATTGTACCATAAAAGAATTTGTACCATTATGTTATGGTACAACTTTACAACTTGAAGTTGTACCATCACATAAATGTACAAGTTCAAGTTGTACCATAAAAGAATTGGTACAAACAATATAGGTATAATCTAAAATTGTACCATAACGTTAAAGGTACAATTTTTAGTTGTACCATAAAAGCAAAAACCTATAGTATCAATACTATATAGCATTGTAAAATTTCTCTTAAGTGTCGACTTTCTTCACAAAATTGCGAGCCCTGTGGGAGAGTCGACGACCATTATTCCAACTCCTAGCCGCATGTGCGGTTTATGTACATGTAATTTTTCTCTTCGGATGTGCGAATAGCAAGACCATGGGATTTTTCCAATAATAGCACATTTAAAAAAAAATTACAAAAATAGCACCCATCCCATAAAAATTACAAAAATAACACCATTTTTATGAAACCGCACCTCCAATGTGCGTTTTATAAATAAACCGCACCTTGGAGATGCGGTCCGTGCCACGTCAGTCAGGGAACCGCACTAGGAAGCTGCGGTTTGTGTTTCCTCCGGAGCGGCCTCCAAGACCGTTGGATAAGGCAGATCCAACGGCGGACCGCACGCCAAGTCAGCGATCCGTGCCAAGGATCGCATACTTCACCTTCCCCCTGCGTTCTGCGCCTCGAGAAATGGAAACTGCACCCCCCAGTTGAGGTTTCAACGAATGCAAAATAACCAGATCGCCTCTGGAGGGTGCGGTCTGAAGTGTATAAATACCCCCCCTCCCTCATTTTTTTACACCACAACCCATTCTTCACTCTCTCTCTAACTTCTCTCTCTATCCCCTCCCCTCCCAAAAGTCTAGGAAATGGTGGTCTGTTGGTTGCGGCTAAGTCCGATCTGCCATCAGAAAACATTTCTTCGGTTTTTCCTTCAAAACCCGCCGAATCTCTGTCCGACTTTCGCGAAAAAATGGAGGAGTGGTTCCAAGGAGAGGGAGTTTATTATGATGAATTTCAAGCGGTTCGTACTCATTATTCTGGTCAATTTTTATTGTTGTTATAAGATTTTTAATTATTATATGTACTAACCTTGTTGTTATTCTCTCGTAGGTTGCGGACGACATTGATATATACAACCAACTGTATTATTTGGATCAAAGACCTATTGATCCAACCGACTTGTACGACCAATCCAACCATCTTCAAGGGATGTTTGGAACGATCACGAGGTACATACAATTCTTCATCATTTGTCTTTCTTTTATTTTGCTAATGTACTTAGTGGAATATAAAATAAATTTGAAATAATTTAATCGTATTGGTTGTTTTCAATAATTTAATCGAATACATAGCGCCACTTACTTCGACTCTTTATAAAGAGATGCACGTCTAAGGAAATGGAGTTTTAAGCGATTATCATGATCCTCCCATTTCCAGGGAAAATCGGGTATTAAGAGATCCTCGGATCCCCCCTTTTTCTGTCAAAAAAGTTGTGTTTCTAAGAAGATGTATACCTCTTCTAAGAGTCTAACGAGTGTTGCATTGTATTCGATTAAATTATTTAAAACAACCAATACAATTAAATTATTTACCAAACAACCAATACGATTTATGTTTATGTGTACAAAATGAATTTTATTAATTTAAAATATTTGAATATGTATGTATCTCTTTAAATTATTATTCATTTAGAATGTTATTTATTTCAATTAATTCAGTATGTTTGTTTTATGATAATATGTATATATCTTGAAAAAACCCATCAATTATTTAAATTTGATTGTTAATAATATAATTATAATAAAGTTATGGTCGAAATTAAATCATTAATTTTAATTAATTTAGTTATAAAAAAACGATTACTAATATATCATAAATAACGTGGAAATTTTTGCTAGGAGGCACAACAAATACTCTGCTAAAGGGGTACGACCAATGTGCTCCCATTGAACCCAATTATCTTGCCATTTCTCAAAAGTGCACGGTTGGAGTCGATTAGGCATTTTGTAGGCATAAAAGTCGATCGCCAACTAATCACCGCATTGGTGGAGAGATGGAGAAAGGAGACATATTGTTTCAACTTTCGCAAAGGAGAGTGCACCATCATGCTAAAGGACGTCGCCATTCTAATCCATCTGCCCATAGACGCCAAAGCAGTGTGTGTGAGTGATCATCCCCCCAAGGATCGTGACGGTATGACCGGTTGACAGCATTTCATCCACAGTGTTTTGGGGGTGAAAGTACCAATCAAGGAGAGGGTTGATGCGACGGATCGCTTGCCACCATTGAGTAAACACCAAGTATCAATCACTTGGTTGACGAAGTATTTTAGGGACCATCACGAACATCTCGGCTTTGGAAAGATTGTTGGACCTAAAGAATTCGAGCATGGCATCTACATCATCCTGAGTGGTTATGAGATATGCCATGTGCCACAACGACCCGCCTTCTCTGTTTGGATATCGGTACACCATACGATCAACTCTTCTCATGCCATCCATGCAAGTAACGTCAGTACGAATTTGATGGAGGTCTTCAAGCATCGGTTTGGTAGCAACCTTTATTTTCTAAAAATTGCCACCGACGTAGGTGACCCCCTTTCCGGTCTCTTCCGTGTAACCATTCCACCGTAACCCAAGCGTGAACTTTTGGAATGCCATTTGCAAAAAAACCGTAGTTCAGTTAATATCATCAAAATCACAATAAAAAGTAATACAAAATAAACTTACGAGTTAACGTTAACCGCAAAAACACTAAAGAATTAGAGAGCTACAACAGAAATTGAAAAGGGAGAAGGAGAGGTGTGAAGAGAAGAGGTTTCCCGAGGCTGTCTTTTATAGGCAAAATCATCAATGAAAACCGCATGGGGAGGGTGCGGTTTTCATCTGCCATGCAGCCCCACGTCTGTCAACCTGCATGGCAACATGTTTGATGTCGGGAAAATGGGGCCGACACACAAACCGCATGAGGGGGGGTGCGGTTTGTGTTACAAAACCGCACCTATGCCATGCGGTTTTGTTAGGTCAGACACGAAATCGCATGGCCAAGATGCGGTTTTGGCCCAGAACCATAAACCGCACCTTGGAAGTGCGGTTTATAAGTGAAACGCACCTTGAGGGTGCGGTTTATTTATAAAACGCACATTGGAGGTGCGGTTTCAAAAAAAGGGTGATATTATTGTAATTTGTATGGGCTGGGTATTTTTTTGTAATTTTTTTTAAAAGGTGCTATTTCTAGAAAAATCCCCAAGACCATTCGCGATTGTTTAATTTTCTTGTGGGCCTCGACGATGCATTTTCGGCTGTTCGAACTCAAGTGCTGGCGATGAAGCCCATCCCTACTCTCTCGGAAGCCTTTAATATCGCTCTCAATGAGGAGCAGCAACGGCTCATCTCTCAAAATCACAAGTCGATCAGCGAGGCGGTGGCGTTTGCAGCTTGCGGGGATGGAGACCGGAATCCACGTAACTCTAGGGACAAGGAGCGACCCAAATGTACGCATTTTCAGAAGGGTCATTTATGTGAAACATGTTGGGAGCTCATCGGCTATCCCCACGTGATATAGCATATTTGCTCGGAGACTGTGACTCGCAACAATGTCGTCGTCCGCGTTCTGTTCCTGAAAATGCCGCGCACAATCGCAACCCCGAAGCGGCTAAAGTCGAGCAAGAGAAAGGGAAAAGTCCTATTGTTGGTTTCATTGTTGCCCATCTCGAGCAACTCAAGCAGTTCTTTGGTTATCCGGTTGATGGAGATGACGTACCTACTATGAACTCGGCATGTATGATTTCTTTTGACACTAAATGGTTGCTCGACTCCGTTTGTAATGAGCAAATCACGATGAATGAGACTTTGTTATATGATAAAGTAGTGATCGAACATGGTCATCCGGTTAAAATTCCTAATGGGGCGAGTATTCATGTTCGTCAAATGGACTAGGGGTGGGCATCCTGTTTGTTAAAATTGATCCAAATCGGATCGAACCAAATTGAAACCAAACCAAAACTGGAATAATGTTATTCGGTTAGGAAATCAAAAAGGATAAACAATTATTTCGGAAACCAGGGTAGTCACAACTGAACCGACACTTCTAAACCCAAAACCAAAAAATCAAAATTATGTTATCCAATACTATTCGGGTCGTTTGCTTCATGAATTTGAAAAATGAACGTTTTGGTAAAACTTGGGTTTTGTAAAACATTGGATATATGAAGGTTTTGGGTTCATTATAGACTTGTAAAATACCATTGTTTGTTCCGTTGATTTCATGATAGATTTGTTTAATTAGATTTGTGTGCATGAAGTGAAAATGACTTATATTGCCCTCATTAGTATAAGATGGGAAGGATAAAAGAAAGGGTTATTTAGTCATAAATATTGGACTTTAAAGTCCACGATCAGGTGTCACCTAAAGAGGTGGAATTTTCAAGTCTGTGGGACCCACAGATTTGGACCCTTAAAGTCCATGGGGCCCACGAATTTGTTACCACAAATACATGAAGCAAACAATAGTGTTTGGACAGAATCCATAATAGATCCAAATCCATCATCAAAACCATCACCAAATCCATCAAGCAAACAACCCCTATATTATCCAGCCCAACACTCTCCCAAAGCCAGCCCACTCTCCCAATAATCCTAAGCCTAACGAACAAAAGAAGAGGGAGTCACTCTCCTCTGCTCTCTCAGCAGCCAGTCAACCACCACCCCTAGCATTAGCAACCCTTCTTAATCACGGGACTCATCCTCATTCACAAGCTTCGGTTTGACTAGCTACAGCAATCGATCAGGGTAGCTACCAACGTGTAAGAAACACGCTTCTTCGAGCTTCTTACGGTTAACGTGACTGGATAGATAGAAGGGATGTGGGGTTGAGAATATAAATTAGGGATTTAGGAGAAGAAATTAGGGATTGGGAAAGAATAGAAAGAACGGCCTAAGCCTTTTGGATGAGAGAGAATGAGATTAGGTTTGAGGAAGATAATTCTTCTATTAATCTTTGCATAGTGTAAATGAACGGCCGAATACATATTTATAGGAAATAGCGGAATAAACCTGATAATAACCCTAAACTTAACCCCCAAGTTACTAATATTCTTAATAATTATCCTACCATAAATAATAAGAGAATCCCACATAAGGTGGGTTTCTAACAATCCATCCCCCTTAAAAGCAACATTGTCCTCAAGGTTGTAGTCAACTTTCATCTTCTTGATCTTCCACTTTCTTCGTTTCCAGTTGCGCTCGATCCCTCGAATAAACTTTTCTCCAGAAACTTCAACTTTCCTCAACTCTTCTCCAATTTCGCAACACATGTCACGTCTTCCATAGCTAGACAAATCTTCCTCCTCTTTGTCGAAATCAACAAAATAAGAATCGACTAACTGCTCTTCTTTACACTCCTCACTAGCTCACTTCAATTCTTTGATATGGCCCACAACTGAATGGAAGAAAGAACGGTGACCCATACTCCTGTCAAGCCTCTTTGCACTCCAATCCTCTTCAAATTAGTTTAGGCTAGATTCTCTTGAAAATCCACCTCTAAACTTTTAATCTCCAAGCCCACCTTTTTCCAAACACAGACCTGGTTGGGCTCACTCTGTCCCCAAAAATTCGGCCCAAGCTTCGCCCAGCTCCCATCATCTGCTGCTAGCCTTCTCTTCAGCCCACCCGAGCCCAACAGAACTCAGCCAAGTTGTGCTTCTTTCTCGCCCTGCTCCAACAGATCAAGGCCACCAATCTTCTTTTCCTCTTCCCAGCCTGCTCCTTCTAGCTCAACTAGACCCACAACCCAAATGTTTCAGCCCAAGATGAGCCAAGCAAGGCTACGGATACCTTCTTCGCGGTTCCTTCTTCTCCTTCTTCTATAACCCAAGCTCGGCTCTCCTCTCCTGCCAACTTATGTCCAAGGTTGATGGGCCCATTCTGACTTTAGGCTCGTTTAGTAAGACGACCCAATTGGACTGGCCCTTCTCCTAGTGTGCGACTTAGGGTTGCTGTGGAAGGGAAATCGTTGTTGCCTTCCTTCTTCCTCGGACCTTCTTTTCCTGGCGGCGAGGTACTCCCACGACGACGAGAAGGAGGGCCCAAGTTCATCATCTTCTTTGTTTGATCCTTCTCTGTCTCCATCGTCGTTTCGCTACCAGGCCGCTCCGCTGCCAGTTCCTCCCATGGCGTCTCCTCTCTGGTCAAAACCGCCAACAGAAGCAGAATATTCTTTCCCCAGGTCAATAGCTCCCGCTGCCCACTTCGCGGCGTCGAGGGTTCTTTTTCCGCCTCGACTAACATCGCAGCTGGATCCGCCGTCAATTGCTTTACCCGGGGCGCGTCGCTGATCTCTCGCTCCGCTTCCTTCCACGGTTTAGACTCCCCGGCGGTCAAGGCCAAAGGAGCTCTTCGTACTGCTGGCAAAGCATCCTGATGAATCAGCTTTGTTTTGCATCATCGGACGCCGCTGATGCCGCGTCGCTTCTTCTTTCTGAACTGTCACCCATCAATTGACAGGGACTTCCCTTTCCCTTGTGCTAAACTCGACGACTCCACCGCGAGGATCAATGACCGAACGACCTGATTTCCCGGGCTGCTGGCGATGGTTGCGATTGGAGGGAGCTCCTCGACCACAATGATGGTGACTGGAGTAGCCGTCGATGATGATGATTTCCCCACCGTGGCTGGGATCTGCATCGACTCCAATGAGCCCTCTGTAACTGCCAACTTCTTACAATCATCATGCTTCTCGAAGTCAAGGTTAGCTATGGGCCTTTGCTTTTTCTTTTGGAATTTCCAGCTAAACCTGCCATTGTCCCTCGGCGAAGAATCCCTAACTCGTGATACAGGCTCTCAGGAATTTACCTCTTGTTCATCTTCTAATGGCAGGTGCAGTACATGCTCATTTGACTCTTCCATTCCCACCGTTTGATGTGTGATCCTTGACGTTGTCATTGTGGTGGTCGATAGAGACTGCAGCTCGTCGGAGGTCACAACACCCAGCCACATGTCCGCCTCCTTAGTCTCCTTAGCGGTGATTGCTAGCGATGTTGGAAATCCTCTCGTGGTCGGCGACTCCGCCGCCCGAGGCTTATCTTCCTTCGTCTTCCTCTCGACTGGTGGAGGAACAGCTAGTGAGAGTGGTGATGTCGGAGGAAAGGCAGCCGCTGCTGCAGTCGTCTCCTCGGTCGCCATTGTGTTCTCGATCTCTGTCTGCGGCGACTCAATCACCACCTCTTCCTCTGCCGACTCAACCTCGGCCTCGGTCAACGGCGGCGCTTTGATTGCCGCCACAGGGACCTCATCATCCTACCACTCCTCATCGTCCTCCCAATTGAATGACGCCAGCTGTGCCAATAATTGGTCCATCTTGGCCTTCCACCTTCGCGTAGACTCAGCAAATCCCTAGTTGAGAGTTCCGATGAACTCAGATTCGTGACCATGGCTCTTATACCAATTGTAAGAAACACGCTTCTTCGAGCTTCTTACGGTTAACGTAACTGGATAGATAGAAGGGATTTGGGGTTGAGAATAGAAATTAGGGATTTAGGAGAAGAAATTAGGGATTGGGAAAGAACAGAAAGAACGGCCTAAGCCTTTTGGATGAGAGAGATAGACGAGATTGAGAGAGAATGAGATTAGGGTTGAGGAAGATAATTCTTCTATTAATATTTGCTTAGTGTAAATGAACGGCCGAATACATATTTATAGGAAATAGCGGAATAAACCTGATAATAACCCTAAACTTAACCCCCAAGTTACTAATATTCTTAATAATTATCCTACCATAAATAATGAAAGAATCTCACATAAGGTGGGTTTCTAACACAACGATGGATCTACGAAGGAAGGAGAGTTCCAGAAACGATGAGTTTCTTCTCTTCGTCGCCTCTTTCTCCTCCTAGCTCGCCTCTTTTTTGTCCCTTACTGGCTTTTATCCTACCGCCGCCACAACTGGTTTATTCTCCTCTTGAATCGAAAAAGAGAAGATGCTACTAAAACTCAAGGAGAAAAACAAATCGTAACCATCATGCATGCTTGGATATGAATCAATACTAACCTCTAACCTCCATTGTCGGAGTCATCACCATCACCGACATCAATTACCGCTACTACCTGCCCTCGATTTCCCTTCTTCATTTATGAACCCATAAAGATCCATGTGCTTTGAGCGAGCTCTGCTTTTGTTGGTTGGGTACAGTTGTTGTTTTCTATAGTGAAAAATTGGAAAGAATCATAAAGTGGGCTGCTGGTTTCATATTGGGGTGAGAGGAGGAGGGAGGGGCAGGGGGAGGACAGCGGTGAAGGAGTAGAGAGGATAGAGATGAAAGGTAGGGGAAAGGAAGTTTTCCTCAGGTACAGAGGGAGTCAGGGAGAGAAAGGGGAAGTAAAATAATGAGATGGAAAGGGACAGACAGAGGAGTAAAAAGAAGGGTTGCAAATATCCGGTATGGTGTTGAAAACAGAATCAAACCGTGATATAATTTGGTTCGGTCAAACCGATCCGAATTATATTTATGTTTGACTTTGGTTTGAGGTTCAACTAGGGGTGGCTATTTGGTCTGGGTTATTTGGTATTACCCAAAATTGGACCGTATAACCAGGACTGAGACCAGATCGGGACCGGATAGCAAACAATCAAATCCCATATTCGGGCTGAGATTTGATGTTAAAAATCGTTCATGACCGAACAGAAAACCTAATAAAGACTGGATAAGAGAGTCCAACACCCAAAACTTAACCAACTATCACCCTTTCAGACATTAGGCCACTCAAATCCCCACAAACTCAATCTAAAATAAATATCGAATTGGAACCAGACCAGGTCAAGACCGGACTGTATCCAATCCAATTTTTGGTCCTTATATTCCCGAAAAGACCGGACCCAGACCGAATCAATTCTTGTCAATTTAAGCGGACCAGATCGTATAGCCACCCCTAGATTCAGCATAGAATAAAGACCCGGTATGCATCAGTTTGGTTTTGACCAAACCGAACTGATGCCCACCACTAACTTGGGTTGTGTGAATTATTCGACTGGGCTTTCTCTTACTCGGCTCTTACATGTCCCGGAATTTTGGTGCAACTTGATCTCAGTCAATCATTTTACTAAAGAGAATCAAGTTGCAATATTCTTTCTTGATGATTTATACATTATCCAGTACTTAGTCTCCAAGAAGTTGATTGGGAAGGGTGAGCTACGGGACGACCTCTATTATCTGGGTCTATTTGGTAGTGGACATGCATGAGCTTGTAAAGTCACTGGTGGGCGCCGGTTTTCAGAGGACGTATGGCATGCTCGATTTGGACATCCCTCTCCTGCCAAGCTCGAGCAACTTAGTTCTGTTTTGAAAGTTTCTTTGCCTTCGAATAAGGGATTATATCATCCATGTTCTCGTGCTAAACAGAGTCGTACCCCCTTTCCCACTCGTGGTGTACGAACCCAAGCTTGTTTTGATTTAATTCATGTTGACATTTGGGGAGGCTATTATATTTCTACTTTGAGTGGTGCTCGTTATTTTCTTACGATAGTGGATGATTTCAGTCGCGGCACATGTGTATATCTGTTGCGTTATAAATCAGAGGTTGGTCGATGTTTGATGATGTTTATTTAGCAGGTTCTCACTCAGTTTGGGGCTCGGGTTCGCCGCATTCAGGCGGGCAATGGCTTGGAGTTCAATACCCTGAGTATGCAGCAGTATTAAGCAGATGAAGGTATTGTGCTTCAAACTTCATGCACTGATACGCCACAACAAAATGGCATAGTCGAACGCAAGCATCACCTTTTTCTAGAGACGACGCGCGCTTTATGCTTCCAGGCTGGTCTCCCACTTCGTTTTTGGGGAGAATGTATTCTCACGGCTGCATATCTTATCAACCGTCTTCCCACGACAGCTACAGGTCGCACTGCCTTCGAGACTCTATTCAATAAGCCTGCTACTTATACGCATTTGCGGGTGTTTGGTTGTCCCGTTTACTCGAAGGATACGCAGGCCCACCTTGACAAGTTTGGAGAACAGGGGCGTGCCTGTGCGTTTCTCGGCTATGCCTCTAGTCAAAAGGAGTACCGGGTTTATGATCTCACTTCCTAGAAGATTTTTAATTCACGTGACATTGTTTTTCATGAAGTTGTTTTCCCTTTTCAACAGCCGCATCACCGCGAGTTCCACTGGATACCGTGCCCCGTTGTTGATCCAGTTGATATTGATGACGTTGATCTTGTCGATTTTGGCGCGGTCTCTATCGATCATGCACTGCCAAACTCTACCGAGGCATTCCCATTTTTTGGCCGTACTCGTTCGCCACGTCCTGGTCCGACTTCTCCTGCAGACGTGTCCCCACCTTCCCCTGTCAGCTTGGATTCACTGCTAGCAAGTCTTCGACCTCAGAGGCCTCCGATTCTTCCACTCCCTCGCCAACATCCAACCCATCACCACCTCCTCCTCCTCGCCGCAGTGACCGCGTCCGCACTCGTCCGAGACAACCTCATGATTCTACATCTAAGTACCCTTTGTTTGCTTTTGTATCTTATGAAAGGGTTTCTTCCACCTATCATGCCTTTCTAGCTATAGTAACTTCACATGATACACCTAGTACTTTCTTGCAGGATATGAAGGATCCCCGGTGGCGTGATGCAATGGTCAATTAAATTCGTGCTCTAGAGCTCAATGGCACTTGGAGTCTAGTCGATCTCCCTCTCGGCAAACGTGCCATCTCGCCGAAGTGGGTTTACAAAATCAAGTTCCTGGCTGATGGTTCTATCGAGCATTTCAAAGCTCGTCTGGTCGCCAAAGGTTACACATAGATTGAAAGTATCGACTTCCATGATACTTTTACCCCCATCGCGAAGCTCGTGACTGTGCTCTGTGTGCTCACAGTGGTTGTTAGTCGCGGGTGACATCTGCATCAGCTTGATGTCAATAATGCATTCTTGCATGACGATCTTGAAGAAGAGGTCTATGTGCACATTCCCCAAGGCTTTGCCCAACCTGGGGATACTCGTGTCTTCAAGTTGTACGGACTTCGACAAGCCTCTCGCAATTGGTATCATAAATTCACTGTTGCTCTTGACAACCTCGGTTTTCGTGCCTCTCCAGCGGATCATTCTCTGTTTATCTTCCGACGGGGGAGCACTTTCGTGGTCACATTAATCTATATGGATTACGTGTTGTTGACTGGCAATGACTTGAATTTTATGCTTAAGGTCAAGCAGTCTCTCGATGCGCAGTTCGGCATTAAAGATCTTGGTGACCTGCGTTATTTTCTTGGCATGGAGTTTGCTCGGACCTCTTATGGCATTGCTTTATGTCAACGCAAATATGCTCTGGATATTTTCAGTGATGCGGGCGTTACTGGTGGTGGACCGAGTGGGTTTCAGGTCGAACAAACTCATCATCTTACTAGGCCGAATGCCCCTGGGGATACTCTTGTCAGTCCTTCTACTTATCGTCATCTAGTCGACCGCTTACTATAATTGACTATGACTCGGCCTGATCTCACTTATGGCGTTAATGTTCTCGACCAGTTTTTATTTGCTCCTCGTCGGGACCATATGGATGCAGCTAACCGCATACTTCGTTATCTTAAGAGTTAAGACCACGTCGGCTCAGGGTCTTTCTTTCCTTCTCATAATGACCTTTCTCTCACGACCTATTGTGATGCGGACTGGGGTGGCTGCCAACGTACTCGCTGCTCCACCACTGGCTATTTCATCAGTTTGGGTGGCGCTCCTGTCTCCTTGCGCAACAAAGAGCAAAGTGTTACTGCTCGTTCTTCTGCAGAAGCCGAGTATCGAGTCATGGCAGTCCCGTAGTGAGATCGTGTGGCTTAGGTGGCTTCTGCATGAGCTTGGGTGTCGCAGTCTAGCCCTACTCCACTTTATTGCGATAACCAGACGACTCTTCATATCTCCGCCAACCCAGTTTTCCACGATCGCACTAAGCACGCGGAGATGCATTGTTACTTCATTTGTGAGCACGTTTAGTCCGGTGATGTTCTCCCTCTCAAGATAAGCTCTCATATCCAGCTTGCTGACATCTTCACCAAAGGCCTTGGTGCGGATCGGTTTCGCTTCTTGCTGTCCAAAGCTGCACGTTCGTAATCTTCACGCTCCAGCTTGTGGGGAGAGTATTGGATCGAGCCTCGCTATCCCAACAGTCGCGGCCCATAACCAGTCGCCATGCAACCCATGCAACGTCCGACCTGGACTCGGCCAACCCGAACTCGTCTAACGCCGAGATGGAAACCCTAGTTGCTTACTGTAACAAGGGATATATATGTTTATGTAAACATCGGCTACGACCAACACATCTTTATAAGAAATAACAGGTGCAGCTGGAGAGCTTCAACGCTCCTATGGATTAGTCTCGATCGGTTCATCGATCGAAGATACCACTGTAACACGTTGTTGTCCTTTTTGCATATTTTACAACAGATGACATCGAAAGCGGTAGGCGATATCGGAGAGTCCCAGTGAGTTCTACAGACGGAGGGAGACAAACGACGTTGCAGCTGCGGGTGGTAGAGGAGAGTCCGATAGGTATTTGATCAATTACGTAAATTACATACTACGTTCTAAGGTTAGAACGACGAATAGTAATTCTAGAACATCTTTAACCATTCAAATCCTAATGGGCTAAAAACCTAATGCCTATAATCGCTTGGACCATAGGGCTCAAACAGCTCCCTCAAAGGCCCCTTCTTCCTTCTTGGGTTCAAGCCCATATCCCTGCACAACAGATCGTGGAAAAAGATCGGCAAGCTGACGCTCGTGCAAGAGCTCTTGTAACCTTCCTTGGCGTAAGCCCTCCAGCAATTCTCCCACTCCTTCGCCTCCTCTTCCATTTCCCGCACCGCCGGCAACTTGAACTTCCCGGCCACCAGATGAGCCACCCACTTGATTCTCATCTCCGTCGTGTACAAGTACGACGCGCTGTCCGTGTAGCCGAGAATCGCCAGCTGTGGGATTCGTGGATGGATGGTTTCCCTAATCAAAAGGAGATAAGTTTAATTTCTAACAGAACCAAATTACTCTGTCAAATAACCCTAACTTGTACCATTAGTCATGACAATACAAGAGATACCTGTAAAATGGAGATGTGGATTTGGTAATGTACTGCTGGAAGTAGATTGATCCGAAGATGTTCTTGAGCTTTTCGGTGCTTTTATACCCTGTCGCGAAAATGACGATATCTGCTGGAATCCTCGTTTGATCAGGATCCAGGATCAGACCCTTTTGGCAGAAGCTGAAGCTCCTAGATTTCTTGAGGACGAGGCTGCCGTCGGCGACTCTGTCGTAGAAATGTTGGGGCAGAATGGTGAACATGCAGCTGAATATCTGGTTGAAGAAGCCGTGGTCCGGAACCATGTTGTATTTCTTTAATGGGAGCTTCCACTTGAGGTAGAGTTCCGCTGCTTTCGATTGTATCCACAGCTGCAACATATAATGATCAAACACAATGCTTTTACTTATCCCTAAATCGAAATCGAAATGAAGGGAGTTTTCTTTACCAGAGGGGAAAGCAAAACTGCCAGCAACCATAGGAAGAACCCTTGGCGTGGCCTGTGGAACATGAGCTCCGACAACCGATTGAAGCTTTTCACAGAGTGTTTCATGAACACTTCTGGAACTGTCCAGTGGACGGTTCTGAACACCAAAGTACACGGATACTCAGCACCTGCAAAGAAAGAAAAAATTGAGAAGCAGAGAACAAAAATCGGGAGATCATTATGGCTAGTTAAAGTCTTATTGGGTTTCATTTATCAGTACTCACCATTTCTGCTGGCGATTTCTGCTGCAATGTCGACTGCCGATTTCTGGAACCCAACCACTGCAACCCGCTTCTTCTTCGTGAGCTCGGCGGCCGCTGCATCGTCCATGGCGCTGTAATCCATGGAATGCATGACCTGACCTTGGAAGATTTCAGGGCCTTGGTTGATTGGGAATTCAGGGATGTTTGGCAATCCACTGTATCTCCCGATGCAGAGGATTACAAAATCCATCTCGCAAACCTGTTGCCAATCAATCACGGTTTAGAAAAAAAAGGGGCAAATTATTAGCGCTTCCAAATCACACACAAAGTTTATTCATCTACCTCAATGGCAGAGGAGCCGCTCTGCACATGAACATTCCATTTCCCGGCGCCGACGCCGCCGCACCACGAATCCCACGTGGACATCTCGATCTCGTCTTGGGAAGATTGGGGGGAGACGTAGTCAATGGAGACGACCCTGGAACCGAATCGGATCCTCCGTTCGATATCGAACCGGGCCGCGTAAGCTCGGAAGTAGTCCAGAACTTGGTTGTGGTCGGGAAAAGTCTCCGTCACAGAATCCGGCCACTCGAAGTCGGAGAACTGGTACAGGGATTTAGGGGTTTGGAGCTTTGTGGATTCGATGGTCTGGGACCAGACCCCGCCGACGGAATTCGAGTGTTCGAACACGGTCGGGTCCAGCCCCATTTCCGACAGGTGCTTGCAGGCGAGCAGGCCGCTCATTCCGGCGCCGACGATGGCGATTCTCCTCTTCCCCTCCGCCATTCTTGACTCTGGGTTAGGGAAATCGTTGAGTCAAGGTTAAATACAAAATGCAAGTGGTTAATTTAGGGGGGATTGCTTGGAATGGTAGTGGTGCGTCATGTTAGCTGACTTTCTTTCGGCGCCGAGTGAGTTCCCCGGGATTCCGGCGAGCGGAGACACGAATTTTGGGTGAGAAGTGAAGCAATAACAACGGTCATAAATGGGGTTTAGGGGACAGGTCTTGGAAACGGAAAGGACGAACAAAAAAGTGAGGTCAGCCATAGGCGAGTTCCGACGGTGCCTGCAGACCTGGCCATTGGAGAACCTCAATAGTAATAGTATGTAGCTAACTAGTACTTAATACATTGCATCAACTAATTTGTTATATGAACTAATTCACCAACATTTATATCTGATTTGTTTATCTCCATTTGGAGTCGATTGAGACTCGAGAAACTGTTATGAATCATTTCATCTCGTTAATGTCACTCGAACTTTAAAATTGGTAATAAGAGAAAAATTGACCCTATTTATTAGTTTTTTTTTCTTCCAGTCACTTGATATTCCTCCCCAGTCATCACAAGATCGCTAAAACATATCCGTCTGCTAACCTTTTCACCAAGGGGCTTGGGATCGAGCACTATCACCATCTACTGTCACAACTTGGCAAGTTCGGCCTCCATGCTTGTGCTTGAGGAGGCGTATATTCCTTATTCATTTCGATTTCGATCTCCTTGTTTCTTTCGGTTTTGTTTATTTATCATGGTTCTCTATCCCTCCCTACAAATATGGAAGGGATTATGTTGGGCCGCGTAGTTGAGCGTACTTGGGCCTCAGGCCTAATAGGTCCTCTTAGCGAATAAGCCCAATAAGAGAGCCTGATCCAATCAGAAAGACCGGGTCAACAGGCGGTCCTTGACCGACTCGGGGCCCGAAAAGTAGCTAGAAGACGCCTGACATAAAGCGACTGTCAATGGCAGAAAAGTAAGGAGCCGTTGAGATACGCATCTTGTGTCAAGTAAAACTGGGCATTAATTGCCAGTCACAGGCGGCCTGCAGAAAGGCTAAAAGCCTGCTCAGGACTCCTGACACGGCTCAGAACGCCTGACACAGCATTTAATGCCTCAACCACCCTCAAACCAGGTATAAATACAGAGTGAGTGCATTAATGGTAAACTCAACTACTATCTATCTCTCTATCATAAATACATCTTTTCTCTCCTTCTCTCTCTAACTTAAGCATCGGAGGGTGTTCCAGGCGACCGCCCCGGACCCTTGTTTTGCATAGTATCTGGAGCGCCCCCTTCTATCCAAGAACAGACGTCTCACCCCAGCTCCACAAACCGTCTAGTATCTACTAGGCACAAACAATTTGGCGCCCACCGTGGGGCAGGAGCGAAGCGCTGAAGAAAGGATGGATGGGAACTTTAGAACTCCGGTGAAAGACGTGGTTGGCGGAGAAATCACCAAAGGGTTGGAAATGCCAACGGTCGAAGAGGAAAAAGACATGGAGGAGCGTGTGAGGGACCAAGGGCAACAAATCTCCAGTATGCAAGAGAGCTTGAGCCAGATCCTCACTATGCTCGGAAATAGGGACGAGCCAGAAGGACCAAGAAGGCAAAGCGACAAAGGTAAAGGTGTTGAAGGGGAGATTCCACCCAGCCCTGCTCAGACAGAAGGCGGGGAATCCGAAGGAGAAGAAGACGCCGAAGGCGCCCACTTGGACCTCCTCGAGGAGCATTTGCGGCCATGCTACGGAAAGCCTAAGGGGTACAACGTGCTACACAACCCCTTGGCGAAGAGTCTGTTCAAAACCCAAGTGTCATCAAACTTCTCGTCACTGGGGCTCCCTACCTACACAGGAAACTCGGACCCGTCGGATCACTTGAGCGCCTTCATGCTCAAGATGCAACTGATAAACGCCTCAGACGCAGATCTGTGCAAAGCGTTTCCAGTCACCTTCGGAGGGCAATGCAGAAGCTGGTACGCGTCCCTACCCGCGCGAATAATCGAAAACTTTGAGCAGTTCGCCATCCTCTTCTCGTTGAAATTCGCCTCCCAGCGGAGGAGGCAGCTCACTGTCTCGGCGCTCATAAACTGCAGGCAAGGAGAGGAAGAGACGTTAACAGATTTCTATGATCGATGGAACACCATAACGTGCGAGGTCCGAGACGTCTCAACTAGCGTGGCCGCGGGAAACCTAAGGATGTCAACACACAGCCGCGAGCTGAAGATGGCCCTCATCAAAAAGGAACACGACATTAAATCTAGGCAAGATTTGGACCGCGTTGTGCGAAAAGCCATTTTATTGGAGGAAGCGCTTAACGCTGAAGAAAGCGCAAAGGGAGCACACGCCCCGCCAAGCAAAGTAGAGAAAGGAAGAAACGGGTCACCAAAACAAAGGGGACGTACACCCGAGAGACGCGGCTACAAGCCCAGGTTCAACAACAGGGATGGAAGGCGTGAGGTGTTCTCCTTGGAGAAAGAAGAGGACGGTCGCCGTGAAGGGGGTAAGACCAGAGAGGCACACCCCCGACAAAGGAGAGAGGACGACCAAAAGTGGTGCGACTGGCACCAGCTTCCGACCCATGACACTACAGGGTGTCGAGAGTTCAAAGCCAGTCTCAAGTACCTGGCCCCCTGGAGACTTGAAAAGGCGCATGGACACACTGGCGCATCCCAAAGAGAGGGCCAGAGAAAGAGATGGATCTCCAAGCCCAAGGAAAAGATCCTGCACGCCCAGACGTCGGAGATCCAGATCACCTAGGAGGGAGCGAACGCCCCATCGGGAGCGGTTGCCTCCTCCCCCAAGGCACGCCCCTCCTCCCCTCCATCAAGGGCGGGAGGAAGAGGATGGGGTTGAAGTCATCACCATTGCAGGGGGGCATAAACGCCCTCGAACAGAGGGAAACCACTTGATACAAGGTATGAATGTCCACAGGAAAGAGCAAGTTGAGATTAGCTTCGCCCCATCCGAGCTAGCGCCCGAGGAGTGTGGGGAAGACCCCCTGGTCATATCTTTCCGAACGAAGAAGTTCAAGGTTACCAGGGCCCTGGTCGACAACGGAAGCTCGGGAGATATCCTATTTTACTCCACACTCAAAAGCATGAAGAGAGGGATACAAGACCTCAAACCGTCCACAACCAGCCTGGTGGGTTTATCTGGCTCTAAGGTCCGAGTCCTCGGCTCCATCACTCTCCAGGTGACAATAGGCGGTCCGAAGGCGACAAAAACGCGCCTCATGGATTTCCATGTAGCGGATTGCCCGTCCGCTTACAACGCTATCTTAGGACGCGACTTCTTGTCGACCTTCTCGGCGGTCCCCTCCACCTGCCATCAAATGCTCAAATTCTCCACCAAAGGCCAAATAGGACGGTTTCTCGGGGACTCCCAGCAAGCAAAGGAATGCTACCAAGCCACCATCAGAAACCTGGAGGTGGATCAAGTGTACGCGCGAGGGAGCCACCCGCGCCCCGAGGCGGCCGAAGAATATGTAGCTGTTGTCTTAGACGATGAAGAGCCGGAGAAGAAGGCCGGAATCGCAGCCCACCTCGCGGAAGAACAGGCGCGAGAACTCTTATTCCTCCTAAAGGAATTCAAAGACTTATTTGCCTGGACGTCGGAAGACATGTCAGGCTTCCCGAGAGAACTTGCAGAACACTCCTTGTCGATAAAAAGCAAGGCCCGACCAGTGCAGTAAAGAAGGAGGAACGCCTCACTCGAGAAGCAAATGGCGCTAGAGGAGGAGGTGAAGCGCCTGCTAAAGGCAGGCTTCATCTGACAAGTCAAGTACCCAACTTGGCTAGCCAATCCCGTTTTCGTACGCAAAGCGTCCGGGCTTTGGCAGATGTGCATAGACTTTACGAGCCTCAATGCGGCATGTCCCAAGGATGCATATCCCCTTCCCGGAATTGATCAACTAATCGATGCAACCGCAAATCACGAAACCTTGAGCTTCCTGGATATGTTCTCCGGCTACCATCAGATACGCCTGTCGGAGGAAGACCAAGAGAAAATAGCGTTTATGACGCACATGGGAAACTTTTGCTACACGGTCATGCCCTTCGGACTGAAGAACGCGGGAGCAACATACCAGAGGATGATTGACACGGTCTTCCAAAGGCAACTGGGCAGAAATGTGGAAGCCTACATTGACGACGTCCTAGTTAAAAGTAAGAAAGGAGCTGACCACTTGGCCGACCTAAGAGAAAAGTTCGAGACGCTAAGAAGGGAGCGCCTCCGATTAAACCCGCTAAAGTGCCTGTTCGGGGCCAAGGCGGGAAAGTTCTTAGGCTTCATGATTACTAACAGGGGCATAGAGGCAAACCCGAAGCAGATTGAAGCAATAATTAGCCTGAAACCGCCCCGCACGGTCAAAGAGATCCAAGCGTTCAATGGGAAAATGGCCGCTTTATGCCGATTCATTCCAAGGTCGGCGGACAAGTGCTCTCCATTTTTCCAGATGTTGAAGAAGTCCGCCTCACGGTCGCAGTGGGGTCCCGAGTGCGACAAGGCTTTCTTCCAGTTGACAGAGCAGCTGGCCTCCCCTCCCGTCTTAAGCGCCCCCATTCAAGCGGAGCCCCTGTACTTATATCTGGCGGTCTCAGACCAAGCGGTCAGTTCAGCCCTGGTGAGGAGGGACGCTGATGGCACTGACCATCCAGTATACTATGTTAGTAAAGCCTCCTCCCTGCAGAACGGCGCTACATGCCAATTGAAAAGGCGGTCCTCGCGGTCATCTCTGCAGCAAGAAAGCTACGCCCTTACTTTCAGGGGCATCCAATTACTGTCCTCTCAAACCTACCTTTAAAAAAGATACTCAAGAGCCTGGACGCCTCCGGCAGAATGACCAAGTGGGCGGTCGAACTAAGTGAGTACGATGTTTCATACGCACCGCGTCCCTCCATAAAGGGCCAGGTGCTGGAGACTTCATAGCAGAAGGCTTCAGCCTTGATATCCCAACTCAGGAAGGGCGAAGCGAGACGTGGCGCCTGTTCGTGGATGGTGCTGCCGGAAAAGGCGGGGCAGTCGCGGGAATTGTCCTTGAGTTGCCACGGGGAGTCATACATGAATTTTCTCACAGGTTCCAAGAACTAAAAACAAACAATGCAGCAGAGTACGAGGCCCTCCTGAGCGGTCTCAGAATCGCCATAGGGATGGGCGCCACGCGCCTCCACATCTGCTCGGACTCTCTGCTGGTGGTCAACCAAGTACTGGAAAACTACGAGGCCGAAGAAGAGGCGTTGGCAAGGCTAGCCGACGAAGTGAGGGGCATCCTCTCACAGCTGGAGGAGTGGAAGTTAGAGCACGTCAAGCGGGAAGACAATCACCACGCGGACGCCCTGTCCAAGTTGGCAACCGCAATGGACTTCGAAGGCGATCGACAGGTCACTGTCACAAAGGAAGCCCACCCTAGTTGTGGAGTCATGGTCGTCGAAGAAGGAGGGGAAGACTGGCGTCTCCCCATAACAAAGTACTTGCAGAAAGAAACGCTCCCGAGCGATGAGTCCTAGGCAAAGCTAATCAAGCGGAAGGCGGCTCATTATAGCATGATAGGCGAACAACTGCACAGGAGGTCGTCCTCGGGTGCGTACCTGAAGTGCCTAGGCCCTACCGAGGCGGAATGGATCATCAAAGAGATACATCAAGGCACGTGCACCTCTCATGCTGGCCCAAGAAGTCTCGAGAAAACAATCATGTTGCAAGGGTACTACTGGCCAACTATGAAGAAAGATCCAAAGAAGGTGGTCCGTAAATGCCACGAGTGCCAAACTCACGCCAACAAGCAACACTTGCCCAATGCAGAGTAAAAGAGCATAACAAGCCCATGGCCTTTCGCGCAATGGGGTCTCGACTTACTAGGCCCTTTTTCCAACGGCTCCCCTGGGGAAGAAATATCTGGTGGTGGCGGTCGACTACTTCACAAAGTGGATAGAAGCTGAACCGCTTGATACGATCACCAGCGCCAAGATCCAGAAATTCCTCTTCAACAACATAATGATCAGGTTTGGAACTCCCAACATAATCATCACTAACCACGGGACGCAGTTCGACTGCAGACCGTTCGAAAATTTCTGTG